TATGACAAACAAATTTAAAAGGAAATGTTTGCAGAAATTCTACATTTCAAGTAAACAGGAAAAAGAATGATACAGGAAGACGACCTCTTACCTCGAGCAACCGAGCCGCCATTTTTGTCAGCACTTCATGCGAAGAACGACACAACATGCCCTTTTGGCTATAAACGTGGCGAGTCAACAGAAAACAACACAGCTCTACTTTTTTTCTCAGGTAAGGAAACAGTTCAAACTTTTAGCGATTCCATTGAAGCCATTGCGCTGTTGTTTGCGAAATGAGTAAACTTGTGAATTGCCATGTTTGAAAATTCTGCAAAGATCTATTTTTAAACTTACGCGTGATTTGATCTGTCAATCAAATCCTACTTTTGAATGGTTTCCTTTCTGATTTTGTTGAGATCACTTCGTGTGTATATACTAAAACAATTATTCTTCTCAATCTCGGTGAATAGTGGCTTTGGGAATATTTACCTCGCCGCTTTCGCGGCTCGGTAAATATTTTGCCACTATTCACCTCGATTTCAAAGAATAATTGTTAAATAGTCCGAGATAGCGAACCAATCAGATTGCTTAAATCACCAAGATCACTGAGTGTGTATATACTAATGCAGGATATTCACTGATTGAGTAGCCAGCCAGTGCGCGCGAAAAACACTATCCACTGTTTTAGTACTAAATACTCATGTATATCGTTGTAGGAAGCTTTCTAGGTTCTGGAACATTTTGACTGTTTATAATAAGTATCAAAGAAGATAAATAACATTTGCTAATGAACTTCTGATCTAAAAGATTAAAGATTAAAAGTGTGCCTTGTTGCACCATGCACGAAATCAGATCACATGCATCATTCCTTAGTTGGTTATTGACCAAGGACCCCCATCTGTACCACAATCATGTATTTTCAGGTTATTCTTTGTGCATTCTATGACTCTTCAGAATATTCTGACGAAGTTAAGAATTTCTCCTTTCGTGTGTTCATATATAGCCTCCCCGCAGACGTCCTTTGGGGTTCGTTTGTCACGCATTCATTTCTCTTACGCGTGATTTGATCTGTCAATCAAATCCTACTTTTGAATGGTTTCCTTTCTGATTTTGTTGAGATCACTTCGTGTGTATATACTAAAACAATTATTCTTCTCAATCTCGGTGAATAGTGGCTTTGGGAATATTTACCTCGCCGCTTTCGCGGCTCGGTAAATATTTTGCCACTATTCACCTCGATTTCAAAGAATAATTGTTAACTATTCACTGATTCACCTCCAGTTCCTCCGAGCGAGCGACGCCAAACTCGCGTAAGTCGCGAGCAAAATGCCTTCCCGGTTTGCTGCCGTAACAAACAAAGAAATTTCACAACTAATTATTAAACATTGGGGTAAAATTCCATGTCCGAGAAGAAGCGAACTAGATTCCCGTCGAGCGGACTAGGTTATGGCCCGGTCGGATTTCGAAAAACGTATATTTGGTACAAGGCAGTGGAGGATTCGTATCTCCGTCTGTATGTATCTAATACGAAATTCAGCTGTTAGGGTAACCAAATACAGTCCAACCACAAATTGAGATTCAAATTGTTATTATTATTAGAGATTCCAATTATTATTATTTTGTTCCAGTTCACGTTTATTAAAAACACTTTGCACACATGCCATAATTAATCCTTGAACGCGAAGTAGCCTATAGCTAATCGAGGCAGGAAGGAAAAGTAAAAAAAAAGTTACATGATAGGGTTGAAACATAACAATAACGTTAAACAGATACACGAATATCAATATATTAAATTAACAAGACAGAAAATAAATGTATTTCAAAACAGGTAAGTGAAACAAGGTATGAATGAAATTAAAATAAAAACTTAATATTTACTAAATATGTCAAATAAAGTACGCACGCCAACATAAGTATCCTCCTGTATCAAAATGTCCAGTAGCCGACTCTGTAGGGTATTCTTAAATTTATTTTTAGGTAGAGCACGATCACTGTCGGGAATACTGTTCCATACTATTCAGCCTGCTCAGCTCACGTACTTATTGGTTTTCCAATATTTCAGTTATGGGCTGATTTTCTCGAAACGTCTCGCATGACCTAAGCTGTCAGAGGCGTAGTCTAAAATGAGGCAAGACATGAGGAAGGTTTATCTCAGATAAGAAAAACTATTTGTCTTAGGAAAACTCAAAGAAAGTTTCTTTGGTTTCGGCGCATTGTGCGTGAAAGAATTTTACGAAGGCAAAATCGTAATTAACATTGGGACGTCCTACTTATTGGTCTTCCAATATTTCAGTCATGGGCTGCTTTTTCCCGAAACTTCGCACATGACCTTTCCTACCAAAGTCATTGTCCAAAATGAGGCAAGACAACGCCTTTAGCTTGAAGAACGTTTATTTCAAAACATATAAGGTACCGATGCCAAACAATTATACCTGTGCGTCAGCGAATCTCAAACATTTTTCTGTACGTTAGCATTTTCACCGATTAATCATCATATGAAGCGTTTCTTTGGTTTCGACGTATTAAGACTAAATATTTGCCAAAAAGCTTTTTGCGAGAGAATAATGCAATAATTATCATTGGGACCTCTTGCTAGACTCAGGTACTCATTGGTGTTTTAATATCGAAAAACCTGGCATTACCTTAGCTCTGGACAAAGTCATTGTGCAAAATGAGGCAAGACAACGCCTTCGTCTTGATTTATTTCAGAGTAGACAAATTACAGTATTTGTCTAAAGAAAAATTAGTATGTGTAATCAAATGGTGACGAGTGAAATTAGGGAATAATTTCACGCGCGTTTTGTCCAAATCCTAATAATTTCCCGAGCCTTCAAACCTATTAATATCATGGGTGACGAATTACATTAGCAACCTTGGATTTTTGACATGTTTATCCTGGATCGTATTGATCGAGAACTCCACTCTCTCAAATGTTTAGACCCTAAATTTGGCTTATAAAGTTCAGAAATTCTCAGACTTTTTCGGCAAAATACCTGTTAGAATCCTTCTTGATGTTCTCTTGTGTGTTCAGGTTTTCTAAAGCGTCTTTTTGTGCCCTGACATCTTCATTCACCGCATTTTAAAACTTCGTCTCCATCTTGACACTGAGACGTACGGAAGGGTTGCCATGGCAATTTTGTAATTTCATAAATTAACGCTGAAATTTCGCGCCAAAATTAAGGAGTAATTCGTCACCTATGATATTAAGATTAAAACATGTAAGGTACCGAAAACAGACATTTGTACGTGTAAATCCGCAAATATCTTGCAATATTCTGTAAGTCTGCATTTTTATTAAACCATCATTTGGGAAGCGTTTCTTTGATCTGATGCACCAAGTCTAAAAATACACATAATAGGTTTTTGGCGGGAGAATAATTCTATGATTATCATTTCAGTGGACCTTCTTTATTTTCACCTCATGCACTTATGATGCTCAAATAGTCACCCCTAGGAAGCTTTTTCTCGAATTCAAACCTCTCTTGTTGAATAAATAGCTGAAGTTTGCGGCTAATTATTTACTATCTTATCAAACATGGGGGTAAAATTCCATGTCCAAGAAGAAGCGAACTAGATTCCCGTGGGGCGACTAGGTTATGGCCCGGTCGGATTTCGAAAAAACTTATATTTGGTACAAGGCAGTGGAGGATTCGTATCTCCGCCTGTATGTATCTAATAAGAAATTCAGCTGTTAGGGTAACCAAATACAGTCCAACCACAAATTGAGATTCAAATTGTTATTATCATTAGAGATTCCAATTATTATTATTTTTTTCAAGTTCACGTTTATTAAAAACACTTTGCACACATGCCATAATTAATCCTTGCCCGCAAAGTAGCCTATAGCTAATCGAGGCAGGAAGGAAAAGTAAAAAAAGTTACAATAATAGGGTAGAAACATAGCAGCAAAGTTAAACACATACACGAACATTAACATATTAAACTAAGGTTACCTTCCGGCAAGTGCCAACGAGGCGTTTATCGTTTATCTTTTGTGGAATGTGCCTATTCAGATCTTCGCGATATTTATTTCATAATTTTAGAGGTTTAAAATAGATTCCGCGAAAGAAAAGGATGGCACCCAAGTTCTAAACAACAACTTTGGCACATTTAAGGCTTTCACTTTCATTAAACAATCACAACATGGCTTGAAGCTTTGTTGGTAAATATGAGCAACACTTATGTTTCTTGGAAAATTCCATTGTAGCAAAACTATAAACGTTAAAAAGTATAGTTTAAATGAGGTCTTTGTCTGCTGAAATTAAAAATAATAATTAAATTCCGAGCAACAGCGTCTTCAGGGATAAGAAAATTATTTTATGTGGTAATACGTACACACCAGAAAATTCCCACCAAAAATTTCCCAGAATACCCCCCAGAATTATACCGGTATATCCGACCATATCCCCATTAAGGACCAGACAGACCAAATTTGTGTTAGATGAGAGATGAGTATCAGAGACATACAAGAACAGCACCATACAATAATCAATTGCCAATTAGCTCCAGAATGTCCCAGTTAAAGGTAGTTTTATCTCACATAATTCTAAAGTGTACAGTCTTAATATTTAATGCACGTAAATTTTTATTTGAGTCAGGCTACAGCACCCATGCACCCTTTAATTAGGTCAAGCATTTGCAGTGCAAGGGTGGTGCAGTGTTGAGAGCACTCCCCTCCCACCAATGATGGCCTGGTTTCAAGTTCTGCCAACAACTCCATATGATGGTTGAGTTTGTGTAACGTCGTTCTCTCAGTTGCCAAGAAAGAGGTTTTCCTTAATTAGGGTAATCTATTTTTTTTCTTTTTCTCAGTTGTTTTTATAATTTGTTGTAATTGTTGTTGCTTTTGGTAGGGCGAAAAATTTATCACAGGCATCTGCTACACAAGCTTATCACTTATCATACAATAAAAGAAACAAACAATGAATATTGCTTGCAGACACCAATTTGTACTGTTTCAGTCTGCATACTCTCTCGCAAGCTGTTTACCAGTTCACAAACAGCTGTAGATAAGACTGCAGTTATTTACTCACCTCAGACAAGGACGTTTGGAATAAAGCCAAACAGTTCTGTACACCCTCACACAGTGTCTTTTGCTGTTCTTGCATGTGGAGTTGAAGTTCTCTGTGGACAAATAGTGTCCCAATATCTTTATAAGTATAGATTATATGCTGTACAGCTGTACGTAAACTGGTCAATTTTGTATCTATTTCATAGTTTAGATGCAGTCAGAAAGCTGCAAATAGTCTTTCATGGTATACGTAGCTTTTCATTTTTCAGTGTAAAATTTGCAGTACCAAATCTACAATGTAAAAGTTCATAATAGAATTATGGGGAAATTAAATTATTGGTAAAGTCACAGTGTTTATAATTACTCACAGATTGTCTACCTTGTGATTCATATATTAAAAAATTTACAGTGCCCACCAATTTAATTAGACAATGTGTTTGTTGTTGGAAAATAAATATTAGAACCCCTTGATACACATTGGTGAAAACAAATCCCTTGTAGAATCAGACACTATGTAAAATCTATGCAAATGCTATGTCACAGAGCTATGCAAAACCTATGTTAATCACTCATACATTGCTTTAACCAGATCCTATGTTGTTTCTATGCCAGGACTATGTTTTTTGTATCGAAAATGCTATGTTTTCGCTAGTCAAACGGAACCTACTTAAAAGCTATGCAGTTTTTAAAGGTAGGAATAAGGGAAGAAATGACATAGTTTCCACATAGCCTATACATACAGTTTACTTAGCTTGTGGAAAGAGATTTTAGACTTCATAGTCAACCTCATAGAAAAAATTCATAGAAAATAAATAGCCTTCACATAAGACTGAAATAGAGTTTACATAGTAAAATGGAACAGGGAACAGTTGATTAAATAGCTTTTGAATAGGGTTTGCTTAGAATTTAGATAGCCTAGAAATAGAAAAAACATATGAAAAACATAGCCTTTTTAAAGGTGACATATACTTTGCATAGCATTAAAATAGGGAAAACACAGAACAAATAGTCTTTGCATAGGTTTGAAATAGGATTTTAATAGTATTTGAATAGGTAAAACATATCACATACACAAGCTTTAACTAGAGTTCAAACAGAAATTACATAGAATTGACATAGTCTCTTATGTATGTAGGTTTCGATCTGCTTAAGCAAATGTAGTGTTTAAAATACGTTCGTAAAAATCACCAAAATAGTAAAAATAGTATAAACATATGAATTAGAATACCTTTTACATTGGTAAGAAACAGGTTTTGAAACGAAAAATTGAAAAACTATGACAATATAATGCCACGAACACTAATAGTAACACAAATGCAGTATTTTCATGGAGGTTTCAGAATCGAAACCCCAAGTTTAAGTTTGCTTATCGTGTAGACTTTTTGCTGATGTCGTGCTCTTCAGTGCCATACAGTTTCCTTTTGACTGCAACGAATAAGTATCTGCAAACAGAAAAGTGGAGATTTTAAGGCAAATGAACATAACAACAACCTGACGTTTTAGAATTGAAACGAAGGAGTATCAAAGCATGATCGACCGATCCTTGTTCAGATACGCGAAAAGGGGAGACAACACAGGCAAATCGAAACTTCATTGAGAAAAACATCACTTACCAACGTTAGGAATACTTTTTGTTGAACCTGGCAGGAAAAAGACTGGAAATTGAAGTAAAAAGAAGCGTCTTCTTGTAATAACGTACGCTTACAGCTCGTCTTCTTTGACTTGAAAGCGCCCGCGTGGAAACAGACAATTTTCACACCTTTTCATTGGTTGAAAAGGCCCACGTGACGATAAAACGCAAAATACGCATGTGTTGAACTCACGGGCTTCCCTGGGAACTAGTGGAAACAAAATGGATGACACCCACCGAGGCAGGTAGCGTTTCGCAGTTTTGACCGTGCAGTTATATTCAGGAGACGTCCACAATCAAGACGAAGGATCGAACCCAATGTAAAAGAAGAAAATGATGCATGGAAGTATCATTTCAAGTGAAGAACTCTAGGGAAAAGCTATAAGAAGGGAAAGTTAAGACAGGGATGATGGATGTAGCGATTCAATGCTTAACAAAAGTCTTCTCACTAAGAAACTATCTGCAAGCACAAAAAAAATTATAGTACATGATTTTTCAGTGTTTTAGTTAAAAACACTGCTTTTTACTTTGGAAGTATGCTTAGCCTTCTGTAAGCGCTACCATGAACGCTAGTCACTTGAAAGCTATGTTGGAATATCACATAGGAAACGCATAGACTACATATATTTTTCATATGAGTGACATAGGAAAAAATATGTTTATGTAAAAGCTATGTAGCCTTTATCTCATGATAAAGCTAAATGAAAATGTCACATAGTGAATACATAGGCTGCAAATATGTTTCATCACATAGCATAGAATATACATAGCACTATGTAAAAGCTAAGAAACTTGTTGGAAATAAAAGTGAAGATCGAAATGCTATGTAAAAGCTATTTTACTTTGATGCATATAGTGAATACATAGGATGCTAATCGGAAGGAAAAGCAGAACTTTCTATTGCATAGTTAATACATAGCTATGTCAAGACTATGAAAAGATTTTGAATAGTATTTGCATAGGTATTCAAAAGCTATGTGCTTTTCAAATAGCCTAAACATAGTTTCAACATAGATTTTGCATACTTTGGACTATGTTGTTTGGTGTTTTACATAGTTAATACTTAGGCAGTAGTGAACATAACATAGCTGAAACATAGTCCAACATAGTAAACAAATAGCATGAGCATAGGTTTTGCATATGTCTGGTTCTACAACGGATTTGAGCAACACTGATTAACATTAATACTCCTCCAATATACATGTACATCTGTAAATAATGTACTGTTGAAGAATTATCTTTGTTAACCTCAAAAATAATTTAGCGGCCTATCATCAACAGTTTTTACTTTGTTTTGTTTTGTTGTTGTTGTTGTTGTTGTTTTTTAGGGCAGTCAACCCCTCCCCACCCCTGATTAGGTACTGTAACATGTAGAGTAAAAGTGAGACTGCACATTACATAATATACTGCAAAAATATTATGTACCTCACTCTCAACAGTTTCCAGGTTAGAATCTGCTCTCTGAATCTTTGACTCTGCAAACTCAGGCACTGGCTGCAGTGAGCTGCTTGATTTCTTAAGAATACCAGGTCCAAACAGGAAAATAATTCACATAAAGCACATTATCTTCAAATAAATAGCATTTCCTGACTCTAAACCACTAAAGATAGTGCATGGGAAATCACAATATCATTAATTACATGGCTACAGTGGTACACTGCTCTGATTGGCTGCTAAGCGGGCAAGGTTTCTTGTTATGACCAGGCAATACTAGCTATAGGAGTCCAAGGTATAAAAAATCTGCATTTAACTTGATAGTGGGCATCCATGTTATGGTCAATTGACTGTCAAAAGAGGTATATCTGCTGACCAATGTCATGTGGCTGTAGTCATGGGCTCAAATGTACAACTCATTGAGTTGGCATGTTTTTTCTTTTTTTAAAAGTTATTCGCTGACCAGTTATTGGTTTGAATTGCAGGCCCAGATCCAAGATTTTTTTGTCACTGTCAAAGAAACTGTGCCTTTTGCTTTCGATTGGATCATCACCTTCGTTTTTGTTCAGTGAACATGACCTCTTACACACAAATGTTCAAAATTACTTCCAGTGTTCTTTTATTGTATTCATTTTAAGAATAGCACTAAAAAGGCCATATGATAAACACCTTATTAACCTCCTCTGTCCACTCATTACAGGAAAATCTCAGACCTCCGCCTTGATGCATTAACCTCAGTCTGAGATTTCCTTGTAATGACCTCTGTGCACAACCTCAGTCAGTGAGTGGTATGCATAGCAATAGGCTGCGCTCTAGGGAACCCAATGCTCTGAACCTCTAAAATCAAGGGTGCCCAGCACGTGATTTCTTTGGAAAAAAAAAAAACTGACATTTCTTTAAGTCATCCAAGAGCTAAAGAAAAGTATCAGAGGCCTCTAGGTTGTGCTAGTTATCTCAAGCAAAGCCCTGTATATGACACTGATAGTTTTAACTTTGACTGGGTTATACAAAAATGGGAAATATTTACCACTGAGCAAAATCCAGTTTTAGGAAAAACAGAAAGCTTGAAATCTTACTGCGCTTTTCACAAACACGAAAACTCTAAAGTTTAAAAGCTGCCTTCACAATTGCGTTTTTCGCTGCCGTCAATCATAATTATGATCACAAGCAATGAACCTTGAAATACAGAAACACACAAAACAGATCGAAATCCACCAATCACAAATCACAAGCCATGACCTTTTGAACCTGTTAAAGTAAAGTTTTGTTTCCTTAGAGGTCCAATAAGATGATTGACGGCAACGGAAAACGCAATCGTCAGTTGGCTTTTGAACTTCAGAATTCACATGTTTGTGAAAAGCGCAGTAAACCAGAATCGAACAAAAATAAAATGAGATGTACATTTGTTTACCCCGTTGTAAATAAAGTGGTGTAGGCTTGAGCCTGCACTTTCAAAATCCGTACATGCTTGGCAGAATAAGTACTTTATATTTATAACAACAACATGAGTACATATCAGTTTAAACCATAGCTCCCACACAGACGTTCGTAGGGGTTCGTCACGTGTTCCTGCCCCACGAACGTCTGCTGAACTGAAAGATAAATTCCTTTCCCATTGTTCCCAAATTTCGGCTGGAGATCACATGCAGATTATAGGAGATCCAATCGGTGCTGTTGAAGTCAAAGTGTTGACAAACCAAACATATACGTACAAGCTCTGTAGAGCGTGATACGTGACCAAAGATTTTTGCTCCTGACGAGAACATAGGAGATAAGCATTGGCTTTTTGTACATTTCTCTCCGTAAAGGCTGGATTAGGTGTCATTTGCTCATAAAGTTGTTCTTTGGGTGATGCAACGGCGGAGTTACCTTGTAAGACTGAACAAAAGGTAGAATTTTTTTTCACACGTTATTGTTTTGTAGTAAAGCCGACTTCCGTTCAGCAAATTTAACCTCTGAACGCTTGTGAGTTAACTGAGTAGTTTGTTCTAAAACCGTAAGGTCTTCACCTTTCATGAGATCTTTCTGATCTTTTCTGGAGCCATAAAGTCAAGCGCAAAATTTCTCAAGGTCCAAAGTGCACATCCCAGATCTGGAAGTCTGCTGTGATTGGTCTACGTTTTTTTCCGCTCAAGTCAGCAGACGTTCGTGGGGCAGGAACGCGTGACGAACCCCTAAGAACGTCTGCGTGGGAGGCTATTTAAACCACTCTCAATGTACAAGTAACTTACTAACTATTGCTTCTGGTTGATCTTTAACTCAAGCACCACTCTGATATCAAAGCTACAGTCACTATCCCATACTATCAAGATACCGATTAAAGATGCTTTCACAAATTTTATTGCTTGAAATGCACTTGTCTGTGAACAGGCTCTCTGTTTTGGGAAAGGGTGAAAAAATCGCGAAGAGAGGGAAGCGGGTAGAATCGGTAGATAGATAGATAGAGATAGATATTATGTTTATTTCACCCACTTGCAGAAATAACTGAATTGTTGGGGAAGGTCATTGTCACATACAATATTAACCATTTACATACATTCACTGAAATTTATAAGTTACCAAGTCATTAATTCCTCTGGTTTGACTATGTTGACGTCTTGGAAGTTGGACCCTTATACTGTAATGAGACTCAACAGCGGCAGGAGCTCGGGATGATGTTCTTAAGGGGGGGGGGGGGGGGAGGGGGACATTTGGCGGGCAGTAGCACGATTTTCCCCAAACAGAGAGCCCGTGAACAGGCTAGAAATGCACTGAACATGACAGAGAAGCTCCCAACAACATAGTGTTAAAAAATTCAACTGAATCATGGCGGCTAATAAAACCTTTAATGAGGGATAATTGCTTTGTCATAAAATAGTAATGGCGAATGAAGGCAGCCTTACCTCTGTTACATGGTCGTTTCGGCAGACTCTGCAACCTCTCCGCGGCAGCCGTGGGTTTAGATTTCTCTACCATCTTGTGAAAATTTAATTTGAAATCGATATGTTAGCGTTTCTGAACTTCATTCTATACATTCTAAGCTTTGTAAAGTGATTAGAACTGTACTCAAAACAACGAACATGTAAATCGTTCATGCCGCCGCTGATTGTTCTTTTGACTTCCGTTGCCATAGAAACGGTGTTTATTTAATCTGTCAGCGGCTGTCCACATCTTGTTAGGCTCGCAATGAGTGCAAAACGTGCAAAAACAAATAGCGAGCTCAAAGAACGGGAATCGCCACCTCATCCCCAGGACTTTGTCCCTTACTGAAACCTGAAGCTTGATATTTCGCTGTTAAAACGAAAGCGAACTGGTTTAAAACATAGGCGATAGATAACTTCCGCCCAGTTGTTCGAAGGCCGATTAGCGCTAACTGGGGCTAAGTTGTATCAGACTTTTCTTGGCTCTTGTTTAAAGGCATTTTCTTGGATAACATAACATAATCTTTATTTAACGTGGGAGAAACACTTAGCTAAAGCTATTTTGCAGGTTTTCCTCAAAATAACTATCTCCATTCTTTTTAGAGCATCCAATCATAGAAGAATGTAGACAAAGAGAATCAAAGTTAATATTAATTTGAAGCTTTGGCATGTCTGAATTCAAATTTCACACACTATCCCCGCCGGGTTATCTTTTGTGAAACAGTCCGTACTCAATAAGTAATCACGATCCCATATTCACCCCACCGTTCAGTTGAAACATTAACGCCTTGCCCCCCGCCCGAAACCAAGTTATATTACAACAAGAAGCTTCAAATATTGCCGGCCAGATCAATTCTATGCTGATATTTCGCAAGTACCTTAGACGGTGTGTTCTGAACGTTTTCGATAATCCTAAAGACAAACTGAATGCATAATTTCAATCTATTATTCAATGATGTAATAGACAAGCATACTCCTTAAACGACAGTCAAACTTTGTAGGAACCCAACTCCTTTGTAACGACCGAAATACGGAACCTTATGAAATATAGGGATCGGTGGAAGAAAGTAGCCAAATATACAAAAGATCCCCAAGGGTAGCATGAGCCCATAACGCGCCTTGCTTTATGTTCTCTTTAAAACAGCCACGACGGTCACTTTCTGTGGTGTGAAAATGATATTTGGCGAGGAATTCGTGACGAGCCGAAGGAAATTCCGAACCGGAGGTTAGAAGAATCCCACAAGGAGCCCCTGGTTAATGGTAATTGCATAAAATCTCTGATAATTAAAGACATATTTCCGATGATTAGAAATTATTCTTTCAATAAATGAAATTTGAAAAAAAATAAATAAATAAAAAATACAGCTAACTGATACATAAGAGATGAAGGGTTAAAGAATAGACTTTATTTTTTGCTGATTTTCTCCATTACACGTTTATTGACCCTTGTAGGAATGACTATTTAAGGAGACCTAAACTATTTAAAACGCCTATGCTCGCTTCCATGAGGATGATAAAACTATTTCCCAAAGCATTAAAAACGTCTTCATTAAAGCTATGAAATTCTGAAATTAAAGCAAGAATCTGAATGAAGTAGATTTGGTTCTATTTTGCGTGCTTTTCTCTTTTCAAGCGGTAGCGCTACATTGAATATTTTTTTTAACTCCTTTGTTTTACTGAACCATCTATCAGAAGAAAAACAAAACGAATCATTTAAGAATAAGATTTAGCAGTTCAGGGAAAGAAAGGGGAGCAGAAAAGCTAAAGAAAACTAAACAAATGAATTTAACTAAAAACATGCATGCTATTTAAAATATTGACGCTGTAGGTTGCTTCCACCTTTTCTGACCACTGATAACATTAGCCGTTTGGAGTTTGCCGTTTGCCGTTTGCCGTTTGCCGTTTCGATTCCATGGCCGGTCACAAAAGCTTCACTTAACACTTCACGTTTTTGGGCCAATCACACTTATCCAAGGCTGCATTGAATCTAAGGCCAGCTGGACATTGCATATAATACGCTATACCATTACTGCAGCTTATGAACCCATAGCAGTTGTTAGGATCCTTGTAATCTCCATTTGGTTTTCCTCGGCAAGTGACTGAAAGGAAACGCAGATAGGAAAATCACATAATTATGGGTCACTTTGAAAAAATACCTTAATACTCTCAAATTGTCGTTTGGGCAGAGGTTCGTGTGGACTTCAAGTTCGAATTATCCTTTGTTCTCCCATTACGTCAGTTGCACGAACTGCACGCTTAATGGCCGATTTCCAAAATGAGTACCATTGTAATATAGAATGCCTTATTATTATTTTTTTTGGTTACAATGGTACAGTTAAGTTCAGAGTACATATAGGGAGCTGAAAGCAGAACCTATAGCCTTGTCTCTTATCTAAGTCATTAAACTGATATTCATTAGCCAACGCTGAACGTTAAAACATTAGGACCCATGTCTTGTCACAGAAATATCAAAAGGAGGTTATAAAGATAAATTTACCTGCACAATTGCTACTGTTCAATACTTACAGGGGCAATGTTGTTGGTTGCAAGCTCTCGACTCCACGCTCGGGCCACAGCAAGGCTTTCCACCGTAAGACGGAGGGGGGTTGGTGCAAGTGCGGACCCTGATTTGGATGCCTCCCCCACATGAAACAGAACAGGGATACCAAGGGCTCCAGGGAGACCAGCCACCGTCAACTGGATCTATATGGAGGTACACAGGGAATTATGTACAATGCTGGCTAAAGTGATAGACAATTTGAATGTTCAAAAAAAGCAATTATGAATGGTTAAGATAAAACAGCTAGACTAGTGGGTCAAGGTTTCAGTATATGTCAGTTTTGTTAGCACAATATAAGACATGCAAGTATTAATTCTGCATCATGTATCCCTACTCTAACTCACAAAGGTGACAATGCAAAATGGCTGTTTCACATGATCGTCGCTGAAAGCTGCCATGACAACTGGCGCACACGTTTTCATTCAGCGGTGGTAAGCTCGAAAGCTAAGCTCATCTGACCGCCGTACACTTCTATCAAAGCCATCAATTTCTTCCTTTTCCTTTCTTCTCCTGTTCGTTATTTTATTCCTACGTTACTATATGCAATGTCAGAATATGATAAATATTAAAGTGTAAATGAAAAACTAAACTGAACTGAACTATTCTGCGAATGTTTTTGTTCTCAGGAGAGGCTGTAGTCCACAGTCCCCAATTTTGAACCGCTGACCGAGATAAAGGTGAATAAACATTAAGGTTTACCACATGGCACGTTTTTACAGTAGTCACATTGATCCTTTCTTTCATTAAAGCACAGCTGAGCTGGACAAGGCATTTTGTATGGAATCCCATTTGAACATGAGATAAAACCATGGCAGGTATCGGGGTCTCTGTAGTCACCATTAGGTTTTCCATCACAGAAATTATCTAAAAGGAGGAGCATAATACATGTCTCAGTTAGTTCAAGAAGGCAAGGTATGCCAAGAATGAATTATGTTTATTAACTTAAAGTTGATGGAAAAAGTTCTCACGACATTTTTGAGGAACCGGCGTGATATATAACTGTCTTAATAGCAAGCTATACAATGGCCCCAGCTCGTGCTACCCAAATTAATACAAAAAAAAAAAACAACAACAACAACAACAACGTACTTTCAATACGTTCCAAATTATAAACGTAAATATTTTTCCCTGTCCTAAGTTAGGAGGGCTCAGAATGGTAGATTTTTAGAAGTATACTAAGACAAAGACATTGGCTAAGAGGGTCTTGGATGTCACCTTTCATTTGCCACATGCTAGTTGCCCATGTACATCACGTGATAATCTAGTGAAAATTGTTCTTGTGATTTTCTTCAAATGCGCCAGGCAGCTCATCTCTCTTGTACCCTTTTTCTGACCATTACAGATCTCCTAATGTGGACCAACCGTAAGACTCTTTTTAACGCACCTTACGGTCGGAGTTTCTGTCATCGGTCTTGTAAGGCGGATCATATTGTCAGGGGATCGATTTAAGCAATGGGAAATATTAATGATCCCGCCAAAGGGATATCAATAATAACGAATCGGAGAAAGCTGTACTGATTTTAAAAGTGGTGTACCTGGGGGGAACAAATGTTTATACGTAGAGGCTGCTGTAAATGCCCTGTCTTTTAAATAGGACTCAATATCTAAAACAGAACGTTTTCTCGAGTTTATAAAGCCATAAAATTCATCTGCCAGCCCTTTTGGGCCCTTCACAAACTTAATGACAGATTTCCATACCCTTTTAGAGCGCTTTTCAATTGACTGTCGAAAACCAAAACCAAAGTAATCACAACGGCCAATCAGAGTAAAGGAAATTATCAGAGGGAGCCAATGACAACTCGAAGTAAACGCGTGTAACCGGCCTGTAGCGCGGGAAAACGCGAGTGACCAAGGAGCGATTGGTTTTAGTTTACATCTGATTGGCTGAGGGGGTGGCGCAAGTTTTCTAGACCAATCAAACAGCACAGTAAAGCAAAACCAATTCAATCTTGGATTACTTTCAACACTCAATTGAAAATTGCTCTATACTTCAACTAATAAAATCCCTACCCTTACATAAACCTGAAGCCTGAAAAAGATGTCCCTTTCGGGCGGAGCCTCCCCGTAAAGGCCATCATAGGGAGTATCCCCTAGAAGGGTGGCGTAGACTTACCACACGCAACTTTAAATGGGTAGTCACACTGGTGCGTCAATACGTTGAACCGCCAACCTGATGGGCAAGGCATTTTGTGTGCCCTCCCGTTGTGGCATCTGATAAATCCATAACAGTTGTTGGGATCTTTATAGTCTCCATTGGATTTTCCATCGCAAAAATGTCTCAAAGCTACAAGAGAAACTTATTGTTAGACCTCTTGTTAGATCCGAGCTTTCGTTCGCCCCATGTGATAAAAAATTCCAAGACAGTCTTGCATTCTGGATTTCACGCTGTGCATTCCGGAATCAAGGTACTGCATTCTGGATTCTTTGTCAGTGGAACTTAGATTTTGGATTCGAATTGTCAGCTGAGCTGTATTCTCGGTTTTCACTCACGTGAGGAAAGCAGAAATAAAAATGGAAACCTTCTAATACAGAAAGTCTAGAATCTGGGAAATGAAAGAAGATAAATATACAAAAAGCCTTGCCAAGAATCAGGTCTATGCAATAGTTCGAAATTTGTTTGTATGAAGGTTTTGAGGTGCTCTAATATCACATGAAAGTAGAAACTCAGAAGAAGCGATAGTTTCTTAGTTTGAATTTTGGTGACGTCATGTGAAAACCAAGAATTCCGTATTCCAAAGTCCAGTATTCCTGATTTTACAGCAAACATTTTCTGGATTCTGGAATTCTGATTCACTTACGGTGTACATGGGACGATTTCGTCACAATAATGCCAGAACTCAAGAAGCCGTCTATCTTAAAATCGTCACGATACTCACTTGCATGTCTACATTACCTATAGTTCCTCATGCCATTACCAAGGGTATCTTCTTTCCCCCACTGCCCTTTTTTTTCCTAGGCAAAAATGCTCCCATAGGTTTATAGTTGATGAAAAGCATTTCTTTTGGAGCATGGGTAAGGCCCATGTTTGGGAGCTAGAAGTGCGCATAAGAGGAACCATCAATATCAGTGATGATATGATAATGATGATGATGATGATGATGATGATGATGATGATGATGATTGACTTTAATACTTACGACATCGCACGTTTCCTGGGTAGTCGCATTTATCTTCTTTTTCATTAAACATTAGGCCTGCTGGACATGGCATTTTATATGGAATTCCGTTGGAGCATGCGATGAAACCATAACAAGTATCAGGATCGCTGTAATCACCATTGGGCCTTGCATCGCAAAAACGCCCTGTATCCGAACAGAAAATTTCAGTTAATAGAAAATAGAAGAATAGATTTTGCATCTATGTCTTTTTTTTTTCCTCTTAATTTTTTTTTTTGCCATGTTGTACGGTATTTCCGCCTCTCACTCAGATATCCATCTAAACAGGAGACTGGGTAATAGGCGCCTGATCTAAATAATTGTAATAAAAAATAATAACATATAAAAATAAAAATTTGTAGAAATGCCTGAACTTTGGACAAGGATGGATTTAAGCAGATGGAAATTTCGAGTTGGTCTTAAGTTTCGCACGGAGTGGAGAGATAATCACTTCCCCCTGTAGCAGACCCAATGAAACCCAACCCAGTAGTTTAATTTAATCTAGCCATCAATAATTTAGCCTTCCCGATACCTGGCCAATAGTTTTTTTCTACCCGGCTATTTTTCTTTGTTTTTTTGTTTTTTTGCTTGTTTTTTGTTGTTGTTTCCTCCGTGACTTTCATAGTGACCTCTTCAAAACCAGTGTATTTTGTTATTCATATTCATTTAAAAGAAGCAAAAATATAAAACATTATTACCACGTACCAAAAAAAAAAAAAAAAAAAAAAAAAAATCAGAGAGTAAATGTAATCGATCTCGCGTAAAAAAAGTGTAAATCTTTTAATTCTTTCGTTAGAGTGATGTAATGTAATATATAAATGATATCACTGCTTTGTTTTACAAGGCTTTTATAGAGATCGTGACGCACAGGCGAGATACAGTGCCCTTGAACTGAGACCTTTTTTTTACACCGCCCTCCCAAGCGCATTTTTACTCAAATAAGGCTAAAATAAGTAAAAATTAACTGGACCTGTTATAGGCTGTACATGGCACAACACTGTGCTTATGAAGATGAAACCAACAATGTTCGCAATCATATTCATTTGGTTAATGCCCTGTGTAAGAAAGAAGAAATAAATGCTGAAATAAATGATGATAAACGGTTTTTTACGCGGTGTGCATATTGCAATGATCGGATCATATAACATTTAACGTATTCAACATTGTAACTTCTCAAATGTTTACTTTCAAAATATAGTCTACCCCCTCCCCACCCCTCTTCTTCTACCACACTACCTACTACCAAGGAGAGTACAGTAGAGTCGATAGGCAAGTCTAACATTGTACTAACATTGTCTTCGGCGGGAAATGATTCATCGGTAATGTAAGCAACTCGTTAGGTTGATTTAGTATTACTTTTAATTTTGTTTCGGCCGATAGCCGCATAACAACTGGCCTTAATCAATAATTTTTTTCACTTCTACTCATCTTCTGCCAGTAGCTCTCGGCCAAAGTTACTTTGTTTTGGTTTTGATCTCAAACAATCACAACGCACGATACCTATATCCAGATATGGATATTTCCCGAACTGGTAACATAGAACAGAATAAAATTTTCCCCAAATGACTAGCCTGAGGTGTCTTGATATCTGCCTCATTGTGCAATTGGTGTCACGTTAGGAAAGAATGGACACGCAGTAATCCTGCTGGCAGGAAATTCTTTGCTTTCGACTTTGCCAATATCCTTTTAACTTATACATAAACCATTTTTTTTAGTTGTTAACCACACTTAAATTGCGTGAGCGCCAACACTGACTTCGGCCAGAAAGAAAGAAAAAAGGGATAAACAAGAGCGACATCTTCAACTCGTGACACAGCGGAAATGCGGAAGTAACAACCTGAAAGGAGACTATTGCGTTCCAAAAGAAGCAGTGCAAGAAATCGAGAGACCAGAACTCAGCAATTTAGCAGCTGAAAATAAGGTCACCAAAACTAATTCGGAAGAGAACGATTCTGCCCAGAAGACTTGAAATCAAAATGAAACCCGCTAAGTCGACCAAGATCGCGAAGGACTTCAATTCCTAGGCTCAAAAGGTTAAGGGGGCGTATCCTTTGATTTCACTTCTATTTGTTTGCAGCTGTAATTGAACGACTCAATGGCACTTTGTGGAAACCATTGCGAAA